AGAGTACCTTTTATGTACCGAGGAACATGTTTAGCAGCAGCATAATGATTTGCATACGGCGTTTTGATGAACCTGGATAGGGCCGAGGCCGCATATGCCAAATCGCTTCTCACTGTATTCGCAGCAAACAATAATTTCCCCACCATGTTGCGATACAGGGAAGCATCTTCGTCAGACAGTAGCTTACCCTCAAGGGCCAAGGACGAACCAGCAGCAAGGGGAGTCTGAACTTTATTACAGTCAGACATATTGAAATCACCCAAGAATCCTGCTAAGTACTGACCGAGATGCATGGAAACCACACCAGGACGTTGGGAAACTTGCATCCCTAGGAACCGAGAAACTGCACCAAGATCCTTCATTTTGAAATGAGAAGACAGAACGTCTTTGACAGAATCAATTGAAGAAGGAGAGTTGGAGAGGATCAATAAATCGTCAACATATAAGGCAACAAGTGTAACCGACTTCTCAATAACCAAAGAGTAAACACCAAACTCAGACATCGACCGCACAAAGCCAAAATCTATTAGTACCTGATTGATTTTAACATTCCAGCAGAGGGGTGCTTGTTTCAAGCCATAAAGACTTTTATTCAGATGGCACACTTTTGAACCAGCAGCAGGAGAGCCAGGGGGAGGCTGCATATAAAGCTCCTCATGCAAATCACCGTTCAGGAATGCGGTGTTTACGTCCATTTGATGAATGGTGAGATCAAACTGAGCCGCCAACGCAAATAACACCCGAATGCTTTCATACCTAACAACAGGACTAAAGGTTTCACCATAGTCAATACCATGTACTTGACGAAAACCTTGAGCAACAAGCCTGGCTTTGTAAGTGGGAGGAGTGGTATTGTCCTTGATAGTAAACACCCACCGACATCCAATTGCTCTGCGCCCAGCAGGGAGAGACGTCATAGTCCAGGTTTGATTCTCTTTATGCGCATCAAGTTCTTTGTTGATGGCACTAGTCCAAGCGGCAGAGTCGGAACAAGCCAGAGCTTCTTGAATCGTCGAGGGTATGTATCCAGCAGA